TGCAACTCAGTCTCTGCAGATCGCATTGTAATGGCTGCGTCAAGGTTGCTTGGTGCCGCGGCTGCATGCGTAATACTATTGTCTTTTGCAACTGGACTTCGTAAATCGTATTGGAGTAGGTGCATCAAGGGTTCGACAGTGATTAGTAGTAGTGCTGGGAATTGATTAATGAAAGCTTAATAGATGACATATGAGAAGGGACGAAATGAGAAGAGATGAGCTGGGATAAGGTGAGAAGAGCTCAGATGAGATGAACTGTGGAGTGTGAAGAGTGTAGTGTGAAATGTGGGGCGTGAAGAGTGCAGTGTGAAGTGTGAAGTTTGGAGTGTGAAGGAAGCAGTGAGAAGTGAGAAGTGTGAAGTGCGGACTGTGAAGTGTGGAGTGTGAAGTTTGGAGTGCAAAGGGTGCAGTGTGAAGTGTGGAGTGTGAAGAGTGCAGTGTGAAGTGTACAGTGTGAAGGAAGCAGTGGGAAGTGTGAAGTGTGGAGTGTGAAGTTTAAGTTTGGAGTGCGAAGAGTGAGTGTGAAGTGTGAAGTGTGAGGTTTGGAGTGTGAAGGCAGCAGTGAGAAGTGTGGAGTGTGAAGTGCGAAGTGAGAAGTGTGAAGTTTGGAGTGTGAAGGAAGCAGCGAGAAGTGTGAAGTGCGAAGTGAGAAGTGTGAAGTGTGAAGTTTGGAGTGTGAAGTTTGGAGTGGGAAGGAAGCAGTGAGAAGTGAGAAGTGTGAAGTGTGGACTGTGAAGTGTGGAGTGTGAAGTGCGAAGTGAGAAGTGTGAAGTTTGGAGTGTGAAGGAAGCAGTGAGAAGTGAGAAGTGTGAAGTGAGAAGTGTGAAGTGAGAAGTGTGAAGTGTGGACTGTGAAGTGTGGAGTGCGAAGAGCGCAGTGTGAAGTGTGAAGTGTGAGGTTTGGAGTGTGAAGGAAGCAGTGAGAAGTGTGAAGTGTGGACTGTGAAGTGTGAAGTGTGAGTGAAGTGTGAGTGAAGTGTGGAGTGCGAAGTGCGAAGTGAGAAGTGTGAAGTGTGAGTTTTGGAGTGTGAAGTTTGGAGTGGGAAGGAAGCAGTGAGAAGTGAGAAGTGTGAAGTGTGGACTGTGAAGTGTGGAGTGTGAAGTGCGAAGTGAGAAGTGTGAAGTGTGAAGTGTGAAGTTTGGAGTGTGAAGGAAGCAGTGAGAAGTGAAAAGTGTGAAATGTGGAGTGTGAAGTGTGAAGTGTGAAGTTTGGAGTGTGAAGGAAGCAGTGAGAAGTGAGAAGTGAGAAGTGTGAAATGTGGAGTGTGAAGTGTGAAGTGTGAAGTGCGAAGTGAGAAGTGAGAAGTGTGGACTGTGAAGTGTGAAGTGTGAAGTGTGGACTGTGAAGTGTGAAGTGTGAAGTGTGGACTGTGAAGTGTGAAGTGTGCAGTGTGAAGTGTGCAGTGTGAAGTGTGAAGTGTGAGGTTTGGAGTGTGAAGGAAGCAGTGAGAAGTGAGAAGTGAGAAGAGTGGAGTGTGAAGTGTGGAGTGTGAAGTTTGAAGTTTGGAGTGCGAAGAGTGCAGTGTGCAGTGTGAGGTGTGGAGTGTCGAGGGAAGGACACGGTCGGGACAGGGTGTCTTTGAACTATAGGTCATTTATGTTTGGGAAACTTCCGCCGCCGGCTTGCCCGGGTCTATGTTATCAATACGCATCGCCATACGCCATCGTCGAATCGCCAAAAACATCAATGCCCGACAAAACCACGAAACAACACAGCAACCGAACGTCACATCACTGAAAATCAAAACAAAAAATCAAGCAAGCTGGCATGTGAATCGGACTCCTTCATTTTCACACCACGGGGCTGTTGTCGCATTACCCCGTCCTCTCCCCCATTTGGGATGGTAGGCAAGACAACAACTCGCACCAAGGGATGCCAACACACTGGCTACCTCTCGCAACCAGGGCATCGAAAGCTCCACGGCTCGGATCATCAGAAGGATTGCTGTGGCTCGGTACCCGGCCGTACCATAACTTGGTTTGAAGGGCATATTCACGTTCCATGATTGAGGCGACAAGTCGTCGGGCGACCGGGTCTTTCCAACCCCGTTCATCAAAGCAAAGCGACAAGAGTCATTGTCTGTGTAATTAAGTTCCTGTGCTCCCCTCAAAAAGTGGGACCAAACTTGAAAGGAGATGAGGTCGGGCAACACTTCAAGTTCATGGACGGTACGTGACGAGTACTGACGTAAGATCTGCATCCAGTCTTCTGGTACCCGCATTCCAAGTGTTGTAAGTAGGTCCAATTTGCTGAAACCAAAACGCCGCCCACTCCTCCAAACTTTCCTCCATCCTCACTTGTCTCACAAGCACCATCTGTAAACACAAACCATGTTCCAAAAAGTTTTGGTGAAATCACAATTGGTTCCGCATTCTCGACTCTATTCCTTAGAGCAAGGATAGTGCCACAATTATCCTCAGTGAGGTCTTCGACGAACCTCTGTGACCTGCAAAGCTTCCCAAGTTTTTGAGAAGCAAGTTTGTTGTGTGACCTGCTGCTAAACACTCGTAAAAGACCATACGCCCTAACAACCTCTCCGCCATCTTTGTAGACAACTTCTTGTTTGAAAGTGTCTCTTCCAAGCTTGGCCCAACTCGAGCTTCCTTCAGCTGTGTGGCCCACTGCTACCTCGCCCTGCTGAGCCCTAGAAGTATCCACTAGCACTCCCCGCATCTCAAAAATGGCAGAGAATTCCGGCGCTTTAGCTCCCTCACGGGCATAGTCTAGACCAAGGAGGCCGAACAAGCTGTCCACCACCCAGGCTGTGTGGTTTTGCAACTCTGATCTAGAGAGGGTGGTGAAATCGTCACAGTACCCTGTCCAGCATAATTTCAAACCTGCCACATCCACAAACCAAGTGGCCAATGAGACATGCAAAAATCCCGCCACCGATCCGACCCCTTCGAAGGGGAGAGCGTCCAGTCCACAAAGAATGGGCTTGCCTTCACTGGGATCAACTGTTGCAATTCTGATGAGATATCTGTCTTCTGTCCTCAACCCAAACTGTTTGTATGCGGACTTCAAGTCGAAAGTCCTCCCAACAATAGGAGGGTGTTTCCCCGGCATCGCACGCTTCAGGCTCCAGCACAACATTGTACACATCTGGTCAACCGCCTGCAG